TATTTGTGGTATTAGAGTCTTACAAATGGATTATACCCTTTCATTTTAATAGAGTGGTCCCATTTTATTCTAAACAAACGCCAAAACAGGGTACACCACTGAGAAAGCAGAGAAAAGCACTGAGGAAAGGAATGCTTCCTTGTGGAAATATCTTCCCACAAATTAGGGAGTTTCTCCTGAACTATTGGAAGGACATTGAAAGTCAGTGGATCTCAGCTTTGACTACGGCTCTTCATTTGCTTGATTTTAAAGGTCCCTATCTCAGTTCTTTATGGAGTGTTTAGATTTCCTCATAGGCCTCTTAGGAATCACAAGCTTTTTTATACCTTAACTGTGTACTTCTTTGCTGTAATTGAAGCTCTTTTGTTGCTGTAATTCCTTCCTAATGTTACAGTTTTAGTCGTTTTCTTTCCCTCTGGAGGCATTAATTATTGCCAGTTTTAAAAATATTCTTTCTTGGTGTGTACTTTTCACTTCCAGTGCCAAATTGTATCACCTTTTCCTAGTCTTCCTTTAGGTGAAAAGATTTTTCATCTTTTTTTCTTTATTATTCAGAATGCACCATGCCCTTTTTTTTGGGGGGGGGGGAGAGGATGATAAACAATATTTTTTTATAAAGTTTTTTTTTATTAAGTTTATTGGGGTAACATTGGTTAATACAATTATATAATTTTCAGGTGTATATTATCATTTGACATCTGTATATTCTATTGTGCGTTTACCACCCAAAGTCCAGTTCCCTTCAGCTACCATATATTTGATCCCCTTTACCCACTTCACCCTCTCCCAACCCTCTATATTTGACTCCTTTACCTCGTCTACCTCCCCTTCCTCCCCCACTCCCTACCCTCAGTCTATAGTCCATGAGTCTCTGTTTGTCCTGTTCATTTGCTGCTTTTAGGTTTATATCCCACATATTAGTGATATCATGTGATTTTCAACTTTTACAGTCTGGCTTATTTCACTTAGCATGATTATCTTGAGGTCCATCCATGTTGTTGCAAATGGCAAAATTTCATTTCTTTTTATGGCTAATAGTCCATTATATATATATACCACTTTGTATTTATCCAATAGTCTGTCAATGAATATTTAGGTTGCTTCAGTATCTTGGCTATTATAAATAATGCTGCAATGATCATAGGGGCGCATATATCTTTTCACAAGTAGATATTCAGTTAAGCAGTAAAGGTTATATCTGTAATATCTTTTCCAACCTTGAGACGATATTTACTGCCATTTATTGCCCTTGCCTTATCATAAGCTCAGTGTTATAGGGATCAAGTTTCACTTGAAAACGTGGAGCATTTTCCATGACAAACTCTTCCGTATACCTTTTCTGAAACGCTCTTTAGAGTTTAGAAACAATTTGCTTTAAAAGCCATGGCAGGCAGCGTTAAGCCTAAATTCTTCCTCCACCAAGACAGTCCTATCTAGAAAACAAAAGTGTAGGTTTTTTTTTCTTTTTAAGTTCCTTTTTCCTCCCCAGACTCAATCATAAAAAAATATAAAATATAAAATTATACTGTAGTATAATTGATTTATGTAAGAATCTTATTCTCATTTTAAGATTAGAAGGGTGTTTCACAGCAAGCTTTACTAACTAACTTTAATCTACTCCACCCTCAGTCTTCATATAATCAATTTCTCACAGGATTAGATACCATGATTTGATTTTTTTTTTTAAGGGACATGTTAAAGCACATTTAAGCCAAAATTAACGTAGTTTCACCAGCTCTATGAAGTGAGTCTTCCACTCCAGTCACAAATGACTTATGGATGGTGAGCAGTGCTATCCGTGCGGGCTTGGCTTTGATTTGTATACGCCCATGAATCGTCTCCATGGAGAAAATGTACAGAGGTAGCATTTCACTTTTATGTTTTTCATCAAACAGCTTCGAGGTGACAGCGAAAAAGGTATGAAAGTTGTTAGGGAAAACATTCTCTATTACCAGGAGGTTGTTTCTTCAGAAGTCAGAGGCTGGTGTTCGCTGTGAAGGGAATGCTAAATTAAACCTGTGCCAGGGAATTTCTTTCAGATAATCAGGCTTTACAAAGCCACTTTTGCCTCATACAAACAAAGTGGTCTACAGGTAGCTGCTTATAAGTTATTTTGTCATGGAATTAAAGGAACTTTGATTCTAAAATGTATGCTTCTTTGTATCAATATGAAATGTATAGTGTCTGAGGCATTTCAAACAAAGAAAGCAATGCAAGTCCACACTTGGGGCTGGTGGTAGGTGGGATCCAGGAAATCTCACTTGAGTCTCCTTCCCGAGCCTTGAATCCTGCTACCAGAAATTCCATCTTTTGAATTAAAGCTTGGTATTTTGTTAGTATGAACCGAACCCTGGATGGCCCGCATTTTAAGTAATTTTAATGATGATCCCTTTAAGAAATATTTATTTATCAATTATCTTTATATCTCAAAAGCCACTTCTGAGAAAATGGAAGACCACATCAAATGCCAGATTTTGCAAGGAAATAGATAAGATGGCAAATCTGAAATACCGGTGGCTACTAGATAGGCAGACCTTAAGAACTCCAGGAAGCTAAAAGGAAATATGAGGGTAGTGAGTGTCGTAAAAGGGAGGATGCTGAAAACAAAGATGCTGTAGATAACTTTGAAACCTATTTCACAGTTTTGTTTAGGTCCAATAGACTGACAATATTGAAAACTTACTTTGACCTCACAATCTTAGTCTCCTTTTCCCTGTAATTCTTGGGTAAATGCTTTTATTTGTGGTATTAGAGTCTTACAAATGGATTATACCCTTTCATTTTAATAGAGTGGTCCCATTTTATTCTAAACAAACGCCAAAACAGGGTACACCACTGAGAAAGCAGAGAAAAGCACTGAGGAAAGGAATGCTTCCTTGTGGAAATATCTTCCCACAAATTAGGGAGTTTCTCCTGAACTATTGGAAGGACATTGAAAGTCAGTGGATCTCAGCTTTGACTACGGCTCTTCATTTGCTTGATTTTAAAGGTCCCTATCTCAGTTCTTTATGGAGTGTTTAGATTTCCTCATAGGCCTCTTAGGAATCACAAGCTTTTTTATACCTTAACTGTGTACTTCTTTGCTGTAATTGAAGCTCTTTTGTTGCTGTAATTCCTTCCTAATGTTACAGTTTTAGTCGTTTTCTTTCCCTCTGGAGGCATTAATTATTGCCAGTTTTAAAAATATTCTTTCTTGGTGTGTACTTTTCACTTCCAGTGCCAAATTGTATCACCTTTTCCTAGTCTTCCTTTAGGTGAAAAGATTTTTCATCTTTTTTTCTTTATTATTCAGAATGCACTTTTTTTTTATTAAGTTTATTGGGGTAACATTGGTTAATACAATTATATAATTTTCAGGTGTATATTATCATTTGACATCTGTATATTCTATTGTGTGTTTACCACCCAAAGTTTAGGGCACCGTAATGCAATTTAGAGTATTATTGCTCACCAGTTAGAAAGTCAACATTCTTCATAGTTTCATGTAGTTCACCAGTTTACAGTACAAATTTCAAGACAGAAGATTTAAATTCTATATGATTTGTTATTAGCTGTAAAACTATTGATCATTGGAACTTATGTCTATCCTTGCTAAGGATTTACCTATGGTCGATAGCATGTGATTAACATAAATGATTATTATCCAATGACAAAGACTGAAATACAAAATTAAAGGGAAAGATACTTCTTCAAATGTAGTAGAGTTTACTGGGAGGTATCCTCTTATTAGAAGTTAAGTGATTTTTTTTCTTTATTTAGTCCTGGTGACTATTTCAGTTTTCAGACAGTTAAATGGATACTTTATTATTATCAAGTTCAAAATCTTTTTATTCTCACACACATATACACACACATCTACTTCAAATTAAAGAAGAAAGATAATTATTGTTTTACAAAAAGTCATAAACACTAGGAAAGATTTTGAAATAGAAGCAGGTACCCTTCAACCAGCATTTACTGAGTGTGGCGCTATTCTAGGCTATGCTCTTGGAGAAAGAGCATTAAACAAGACAGACAAATTTTCACCCCACAGAGCCTGAGTTCTAAAACTTGATCCAGACTTCACTTCTAATTTAAATTTACTTTGTTCTTTCTCATCCAATTACTTACTAAGGGTCTTTATTCTTCATCAAATAAGAACAAGTTCTCCATGATGAGAGTACCAATTTGTGTTTTAGTCCTTGGAATTATGTGATTTATCCTAAAGTCATCTGCTTCTGGGAGTAGTATGAGTCCATTTCATTGTACAAAAATGAAATACACTGAAATTTATTATTATTTTACTGAACATAAATCAGGCAATGGATTCAATATGCATTAGGTAAGGACTGACATTTCAAGCCCCTTGGCCATGTGTTTCAGTAAATGTGTTCTCTTGTTCATTTACTGCTACATTTTGAATCATTGCCTCTGCCCATATAAATGTTGATGCCTCTCCCTTCAGCCTGGATGAACCTATTTTATCCCAAGGGTGAGCGCTTCTACCAAATAATAGAAAACCTTGACCTAAGCCATGTGAAACACTTGCTTATCATCCTATCATATAGGACTCAGAAGAGAAATTAATGCAGAGTCCAATATAGTCTTTTTTATTTAACTTTATTTTATTAAAATACAAATAAAAACACGATAACTCTCAATACTTTAATGAACATTTTACCAGCTACCTTGACATCCTCAAATATTTTATTGATCCCATCTTATTGATTTATACATTTTTATACTTCATTGTGTAATTTCTAAGGAGTTTTAAGTTCATGATTTGATGAAAATATTTTCTCGTTTTCAACTTTACAGTGAAATTTAAAACATTGGCTTGACTATACAGAAATACACATCAAAGGTAAATTTCGATGATTTTGGTAACATAAGTTAATTTCAAATGTTGGGCAATCATTATGAAAACCTCCCAGGATAACCCAAAGTATCAGTGAGTTCTCCATTCAGCTGTGGGATTTCTCTCTGAGATAAATGTCGTTACGTGTGTGTTTTCCTCTCAGGAGGTCGAGTTGTGTCGTGTTAGCAGTCAAGAGAAGCTGGGCCTGACAGTCTGTTACCGAACGGATGATGAAGAAGACACCGGCATTTATGTCAGCGAGGTAAGAAATGCCATAGAGGGGACGTTAGGGGAGGGAGAATGTGAGAAATGGAGTGAAATGACTTACAATGAGAAAATTCTTGGGAGGCTTGAATGTGAAGGATTGGCCATGTTCCAATACTTGTCACTTTCAATTAGGAAAGTAAATTATGTTGCCCAAGTAATGTAATTATTATCAGCTTGTTTAATGTGGATGCTTTCACCACAGAATCCCAGTAAGGGAAAAAGCAAAACTAGTAACGTTGTCTAAATTTGAATAAATTCCCATAAGTATTGAGGAAGTGGAGCAAAGTTTTTGATCGGCAAACATTTGTCCTTCCATTCCACTGTGTCTTTTATTAGTTCTGTTAACAATAGTATTGACTAATTGTTTTAAATCTAATATTCACAATAATCACATATTTTACTCTGCTGACAGGATTGATAAATTTAGATATACAAGGAGTGCATCTATTAGTTTGTTTTATTCAACCCCATAATTACTTTCAAAAAATTAGATACTTAAATGCGGAATATCTTAGTGTTAATTACTTTGAAAAAATGTGGAGCAACATTTATTAGTACAGGTTATTTTTTTTCAAAACTCCCAAAATAATCATTTTATGAGAAATAGTAAGGTATGATTTTTTAAATTATATATACATGTGATTAAAAATTACATATGTATGTAATACATACATACATATGTATATATACATTATCTAACTCCTCCAAATATACAGGCATAAATGTGTGTATATGTGTGAAAACACACACATACACACACACACACACACACACACACACACACACATACAAAAGTTAGACAAACTACATACTTACTGCTGTTCTATGCCGTTCCAGTTCTTAGTGGCCATGATCTTGAAAACATTACCTAATTTACTGAACTTCAGCTTCCTTGACTAGAAGCTTAGTATAATGATGCTTATCTCATTGTTTTTGTAGGTGTTTAGAATATGGAAAAGATAATATAATTAATGAAGTTAAAAAATTACACAGCTCTATAAATGTAAATGTTATTCTTCCAAATAACTTCTAACTAGATATGATTGATTACTCATCCCTCACTTCCTTCTAGTAAGTCTCTATTTATTATTTAAATATGTCGATTTTAGAACTTTATTTTTCAGGGATAATAAAGAAGTCATAGGAACTGAACATATGTACTTGGAAGAAATGGTTTTTTTATACCTCTGACATGTAATCATAGTATCTTTTGTTCTTAATTGATAACTACCATCTAATAAATAAGTAATATATACTCTCTAGATAGGGTGGGTCAACCTTATGTAACACTTGTAATACTTTGCTTAAAAACAAAACGTTTTTATGAAATAAGCACAAATAAATGGTTTGAAGCCATCATATGAAAAGTGATAGAACTACTCCCAGTGAAATGTAAGTCATCACTCCAGTTTAGCCCATTAAAATGTTAATCAACTCTTAATAAATCCTTAAATATCTATTTATTCTAAAATAACATAGTTAATATAGTTCACCCTATGTATGAAGTAGTGTCTAGTAATAATCTACATAGGTAGAATTTTTTTCATTTTTTTGAGCAACATAAATTATAAATCTCTTTATAAATTAATATGCTCATGAGACAGAAATCCCTTTAATAAGTATGGACTTAGAATATAGGTCTCAGCTTTTCTAAGACAGCTGAGGGAGGATTTAAAAATCACCCTAGTAGAAAGTAAATTTCCTAGGTCCAGAGAATCCTAAGTATTAACATCAGCTGAAGATCATGTCAGCTGAAGACCATGTCTGACAGTCTGAGTCTGACAGTCTGACAGTTGGGTTACAGAAGTGAGTGAATGAATGTAAAAAAAAGAAGAGGAGGAAGAGGAAGAAGAAGGAGGAGGAGGAGGAAAAGGAGGAGGAGGAGGAGGAAGAGAAGGAGGAGAAGAAGGAGAAGAAGAAAAGATGAAAGGAAGGAAGACAGGGAGAAAGGAGGGGAGGGAAAAACAGTCTTCAAATCGAATTCTTCTCTAGTCTTTAATTTCATTGTTATTCTGAGTCATTTAAATTTTTAGAATCAGTGATTTTTGACATTGTATAAATCAGAGAATTGTGAACCAAATATTTAAAAAATATGTTTAAAACCATATTTTTAAGTTCTTGTGGTGAAACATTGCATATCCAGTTGAAGACATACATCTTCTCCATTCCTTACAGGTAGATCCAAATAGCATTGCTGCCAAAGATGGCCGAATTCGAGAAGGGGATCGTATTTTGCAAGTATGTGGTGTGGTTATTTCCTTTAGTTTCCTATTATCTAACAGTCTTAATTTTTTTTATGTTTGTTTCTTGTAAAATGTGAGAGAAATTAATTTGTCTTTGCTTTGGGTAGTAACATTTACAAAATACAAAGCTATTAAACCTTTTTTAGGTAAAAATGGTGCCTTTTATTAAGAATTATTAGCTAATAACTAGTGATTTAGGTATCATATCTGCACTCAGATAACTTGATAATAAAACATTGTTGCAAAGGTTAAATGTGATTATGCATGTGATATTCTTAGCACAGTGCATGGTAAGTAATAAACATTAATTGCTATTATTACTAGCAACAGCAGCAGTTATTGATGCTTTTTCCAGAATAAAGTAGGTGATGAATCACAATGTTCCATTGCTATATGAAAATCTAGAAGTGTGAAGACCATTTAACTATTTACTAGTGAGTAGCTAGTGACAGGTGGAAGAAACATGCTTTCTTCTGCTCATGGAAATGTGAAAACATAGAGACTGATTTCAGTTTTATTAAATTTCAGTTTAATGAGAGAGATGATAAGCAGATCATGGAAAGCGGGTACAGAACTGGAAAGAGTACTGGGCCAAAACGGGAATAACTTTGAAAGGCAAAGCTTCTGTCCTAAACCTGCCTTGACCTGCTCTATCCCTTTGGAGTCCTCTCCTATGAAGAATGGCTGCAGAAAGATATACAGCTCCTCAGCTTTTGTGTCCAGATTAACCCAAAATAAGAACACAGGCCCTTGAGAGTTCAGTTTCACTGCAGATCCAACTGCAAAACAGGAAGGAAGACTCAAAAGACAAGTTGAGGATAGTACAAACTGTTAAAACATTCTGCAAAAATTTTAGTCATTGCGACAGATCTATGGCTCCCATTTCTCCTTACTAGATACGAACCCCTGAAGAATGTTTCTTTGGATTCAGCACAGTTGGATTCAACACTCTGCCTAGAATCAGCACTTTGAAAATAGACAAGATGCCATCCCAGCATTTGGCACTCCCTGTGTAATTAGGAAGATGGCTGTGTACACAGATGATTACAAACACAACTAATATTGTCATGATAAAGGTGTGCCCGTGCCACCTGGGGTGCACATCGGAGATTTTTCCAGCGTGGCCTTCCACTATTCTTCCTCTCTTTCTTCAGGATAACACTCTCCAAATCACACCACTTCTTCATACCATCCCCTTTCTCTAGCTAGATGCCAGGGAACTCCTTTTACATCAAGGACTCTCTACTAAGGCTTTGATTAGGGAAAAAAAAAAGTATGAATTAGTGGTCATTCTTGGCCCCACTAGTTTTCAGAAAACTTCCAGAATATATCATTTCTACTTCAGTGACCTCCCTAAATGATGACCTGTAGTTAACAAAATGTACTATGCCTATCATTGGATATATCAGGGGAAGGAAAGTGAATCAGGAGATCAAGATTTAGTCTTGTTTACTCCCATATTTTCAATGTCTTTCACACGTACATGTGAATAAATGAATGAAGAAAACAAAGGTGTTCGGTGGAAAAAGTGATAGCATAAATGAATAAAATCTACAGCAAAGCTTTATTTGCGTGGCCTCAATAAGAAATAAGAGGACCATTTTACAAATCAAAAATATTTGATTTTTTTTAAATGCGGAAATAATCTTAAATGTATTGTTCACTTAGTTAACATCTCCAATTAAGTATACTAAAATAGAACGTAACTTTTTTTGATGTTTAGGGTCATGTTATACTCAGTAATCATTACACAATGATATAATAGAGTAGAATGCTCAATAACTAAAAGGTCTGGAAAATTTTGCACCCCAATATAAAATGGCTCTACTTGGCTACATTTTCTGATATATTGGGTCTACACTTTGTCATTTTTCTCTTGCTGTTTCCAGCTGTCACTTTGTCCGCTCACCATCTACTTGCCATACCCCGTACCTTCTGCACCCGCACTGGCTCCCTTCCTAGTTTCTAGCTAATGATTTTCCCGTAAGCTAGATACACAAATACAGTTATTAAAATTGCATCTATTTGTTCTATGGCTAGAGTTGGACAGAAATAAATACATGTATCTCCACATATGTATACTGTACATTTTGATACTTTCTTATTTTTGGCTATATTATGGGCAGATAAAGTTTTCAGATAAAATATTTGCTGGATAATAAGGCGTTTCTTAATGGAGTTGGTTCATTGAAGAAACAACAGCAGAATTGATAAAGTGCTGTTGTCTGCCTGATTACTTTATATTCAGTGACAAATATGTCACACTTAATGAATAAATACATGTCACATTAGAAAGCCTAGAATCCAATTCTATCTGCGCACAGAGGAAACAAAGAGTCTTAAGGGTGATAGTGAAATTATATTAAATAAAACTGTGACAAAATTGTACCCATAGACAAATAGCTCCCATATGGCTGATGAGGAGATTATGGGATACCCTGTAATGAAGAATTAATGACTCTTGTCCCAGGGAGATGAGAATAGGAGAAAGAGAGGATTTTCTTCTTATCCTTGAAGTTTCCTGGCTGGCTTTTATTTAAATGAATCTCTTTAGAGCAATTGTGATTTTAATTTCCTGTTTGTGAGGACCTAAGTAGAGTACTTCTGTGGCCCTGTCCTCATTGCATAGATAAAATTTTCCAAATGAACTAAACCATGAGCCCGTTAAATGACCTCACACAGTGGCACCACACACAGAGATACTCACGTGAGATTGACAGAGGGTAGGTATTATGCAGAAGAGAAACCATGAACCAAGTTTATGAGAATATATTCTAGCTATCACTCATTTTTTTTTCTCTGCAAGTGCTTGACAGTTCCATCTGCTGTGCCATTGCCACAAATTTGTGGTATCAGGAATTAATAAGGGGAAGTCCTCTCACAAAATTGCAGCACTGCATCAAGACAAAGCATTCCTGAGCCAGAGAGGAAGGATTAAATGCCACATGTGATCAGCTTTCCACAGGAGAGAGTGCTATATTCTCATTTTCTCCTTGGGAGAGTACGCATATAACATTCTGTGTAAGCAGCCTAATCTCATACGGGCCAAAACAATCAGTCATATTCCTAAGGATTATTCCCTAACAAAACCCTGCAAAAACTCAAACAGTGGAACAATGAGACACCTAATGAGCTCTTTCTTTCTCTGACCTACACATAAACTAGTCCTCGGAATTCCTTCCTACTCTGATTTTCTTCCTTTCGGGTAGCTGTTTTACCCTATATCTGTTTTTTCCATCTCTATATCTCTGTACTTCGTTCACCTTCTTTCTCTCCACACTCAAATAAAAACACATTTGAAATGAATCTTTCCTTTTTGCCTAAGATTCTTCTGTTTTCAAATAAGAAATTCCATATGTAATTAGACACAAAAATTCTAGTTGCCCACTTGTCTCTTATATACTAATATTGGAAACCTAAAATTTGGTATATTCAAGCAAAAAAAAAGCTATATTGTCATTGCTAGGATTTGAGTATTTTACACACACACATACACACACACACACGCACGCACGCACGCACGTGCACACACACATGTAAATAGGACATTGGGCCTAAAGTGAAATTTTGACTGATTTATCTTTGTAATTGCCACAAATCTGTTCTAAGCCAAGGCAATATCCCTTTTGAAACTAATATTTGCATATGTATCTCCACAGAAAATGAGACAGATAATTATCTAGCAGAGTTTTTCCTCATTTATAATAAAAGTTATATGCTCCCATCTCTTGGTTCCCTTTCCTTCTCTTTTTTTTAAAAGAGAACTCTCTCATGAAACCGTGGTAACGCGACTACTCATCTGTCCCCTCCCCTTGTTTCTGGGCCCTGCACCTTTAACGTATTTTCAGGTACAGAAAGCCACATTCCCATAAGCAAGCCTGTAGCTATACCCCAGCATTCAGGAGTGAGAGAAAATGAAGGCTGAAAGTTCTATCTGATTCCATTCCTCAAACCTTTTCATTCCTTGAGAAACATCTTTGCTGTAACCCATGGCTGCATTTCTTGCCCCGACATTAGTTTGGCCATCAAATTAATGTCCTGAGTACTATAAGACCTACCAACCAGTTGGCTAAAGGGGCTTGTGTTTTGAAAAAGAAACAATAAATCACATTTTAATGCCAGATTTGGTGGCAAATTAATGTTATTCCACATATGATTGTGAATGTAAAAATGTTTCTAAAGCTTATGATCTGTCCCCCCAAAACAGGGACTTAATGCCAGAGCTGGAGACCGTAGCTTGAGTTATTATGCGTTCACAGAGGAGAGAGATGAATACCAACTGTAAAAGAACTGAAAATGAGACATAAACACATTTCTTAATTAAAAATTATTGGGGTGGCGTTGAGTAACAAAAACAAATGTTTCAGGTGTGTCATTCAACAGCAAGTCGTATATATATTGTATAGTGTGTTCATCACCCAAAGTTAGATTGCCTTCCGTCACCAAATATTTGACTCTTTTTAGGGGTAAACACATTTTTCTTGATGGCTCTCTAAGAGTTAAAAGTACATATGACATAGATAGCTTTCAAAACAGAACCATGTTTACTACTGTAGATTTGATTATTGTGCATAAATTTTAATATATTTGCTTTATTTAGAGAAAATAGTCTTTCCTTTACCAAAGATTAAAATATAAATAGTTATAGTTATAATAACAACATCATTAACAGTAATGTGCGCCAACCTTAACACTTTATACCAGGCACTTATTTAAGCCCTTTACATATATTAACTTATTTAATCCTTATAACAACCTCTTAGAAAGGCACTATTATCTGCACTTTAATATAGAGAACATAATAATAATATTAAACTAACATAAATAAGAGTATTTAGACTAATGGTAAGTGAAAGTTTGATAAAGAATTTAGCAGTACTTATATACTTGAGTGGAGACCAGAGAAAAAAGTAGTGGGGGTTTTATTTTAAACAGGAAAAATGAAGAAAAGGTGTGTGAAATCATCCAACTCAATCCCCATAGGACCAAATGTGCCTGTAGTGGGGGAATGGTGATTAGATCCATGATCGATAGACAAACAGATGCACTGCAGATATACTACCAAGAATTACTATGAAATGTACATAAGCCCTCAAAGCTCAAAGAAGGTAAAAATTTCCAAGTCATTATTTTCAAAGTACACTTAATTAAGGATGGGAGAGGTGTTGTGGAATCCATCACTGCCAATTTATCTTTATTTGAGGGAAAAAAGACCTTGGATTCAGTACAAAAATAGCTTTTCAGATATATAGTTATGAAAAAAACAACATATGCTTCCCAGTCACTAGTCTCCATTTTTGAATCATAGCCTTTATTTTCTAATTTGATAAATTTTATTTGCGAATTGCAAAAAAAAAGGAAATGCACTTGAAACTTATAAGAGCTAAATTTCCTGTCTACATTTACAAGTGAAAGACTAAGCTGATATTCATTTGATCAGAGTAAGAAAATACTCTTGTGATTTTCCCCTCTTTGCCTATTATTGTCTGCTTTGTTTATACTCAGTATGTATGATAAGAATCTAGGAATATGGATCATTTATTGTGGTTCAAAGTTGAGATTTCCAGGGCTTGTTTTTGGTAATTATGTCTGTCATCATATATCAGCCAGAATCCCAGAGACCCACAAGTAGGAAACCTCAGTAGTCTGTGTCATGCTTTTAAGTAGAAATCCTTAGTGAAAGGTGTTAATTATTGAAAAAAAAAAAAAATCGTCAGTGCAGCCACATATTAATTTATTGAAATAATTAATACTTATTTGAGATAGAATTACTTGGCCTATTCAATTGAAGTTTGTTTTTATATATTTTGATTATATGTTATGAATCAAAAATCTCATTGTCTCTATGGATTTGAACAATCAATAAAATAAAATTAATTTAAAATGTCCAAAGAAAAAAGTTCAGTTAACTAAGAACAAAATACATTTAAACATGAAAATGTAGTTTAAAATACAAACTTTAGAAACCTTGTTTTCTCTGTCCATACAACTTAGAAAAAGGAAAAAAGATATGGTTTGAATGCCACTAGAGTCTTTTCTTTTTAACCAAAAGTTTACTCAGGCTTGGTTTCTTTGACTAAGTGTTCTTACTAAAAGCTAATCCTACTTTGTTATTTTTTTTTTTAATTTTAAGTACACTTAAAAGATGAGCCTTAAGATATTACATTAAAGTTTTGTTGCTTTTGCATAAAGATATATCTTGGAAAGGAACTGGAGTATTGAATGAGGATGTTACTGATGAACTATATTTTCTTTTGATTAGTTAAGCTCTGAAAGATATCCTGAGAGTGATTCGGTTCAACTGAGTCAGATCCACACACAGATATGAAATGATTAAATGAAAATGCAATCGGCAGTGTCCCGGGAGCATTGCCTGGCGAGAGATAATACTGCAGCTCTCTAATTGGCTCGCAGCAAGCATGCAGGATGACGGATTTCAGTTGTGGTATTGCCACACTGCTTCCCCCAGCACTATTATCTCAGAGTGACACTTCCATTACTCTGAGCGGAGAAAGATGAACGTCACCTGTCAGGGGCTGGTTAATTGTGTTGCTAGATGTATGTTGCCAGGGCGCAGGTTGGACATTTATGAACATAACTGCTTCCTCTGATGTCCGCCATCCTTCAGGGATCGATATGGCTCTTACAGTAAGCGCGTAATTGAGTGAAGGCACTTACCACTGAGGGGCTGAAGATGAGCCCATTGTGTGAGCTTCATTGTCCATACATTTACCATAAATGAGCTGATATTTGCCATTTATTGTGTGCAGCATTGTGGAAATGGAAACTAATGTGCCACTTTCATTTGTTTTCTAGATAAATGGAGAGGATGTCCAGAATCGAGAAGAAGCAGTGGCATTACTCTCTAGTGATGAGTGCAAGAGAATCGTGCTGCTTGTTGCAAGGCCAGAGATTCAGGTCAGAACAGAGATCAAATGTCCTGAAACTGAACTTTATAGTCATTATTTGCTATTCTATATCAAATCAGTACCATGGATATTTGTAAAACCAAGTATTCAAAGTATAATTGAGTTATCTTTCCCAAGTTACCAACCTGATCAAAACAATTATAAGTTAAAGTCTCCTTTATATTGCTTCACAGAATGTCAACTAAATATCTTATTTAAAAAAAAAATTGAATCGTTATTCTCTCCTTTCTCTTATCAGTTATTTAAATAAATTCATAACTGAAAAATGGTTAACTTTACATGATTTTTAATTTTGTGTGGATCCTTGCTTTAGATTTCCATCTAAAAATTCTTAATTGGCATCTTAAGGTATCTTGAAAGAATCTCTAATGAAAGAAAAACATTAACATATCTAGCTATCAACTTAAATCTTTTCAGAATAACTTTATCAAATAAAGTGGCTTACATAGTATGGTGTAGTTCTTTCTATGTGTAGCTAACAAATCTTTTCCAAGTTTAGTGTGACAAAAACATCTGTCCCACCAAAAACAAAAAGCTTCTAAAGGAATTTTTAAATGTTTTTACAGAGGGAGATGTCGTGAAAGTCAAGGAGAGGAAATGGTGGAAGCGAAGTACTGTTGGTACTTCCTTTTATACCCTTTTATGCGCCATCGCAGTGCAGAAGGGACATTACGTTGTCACCATTCTATCCATCTGTCAGTAGTTTGAGTGAAATTCGTTATATCAACATTTGTCTCCTAGGTTATTGATCTGATATTTTTTAGACTCAGTAACTATATACTATCTATAAATTTCATTGAGTAAGTGTATTTCAGTGTCAGACTGAATCCTGACTCGAATGTAGTGGTTGTAAAAGATCACCCTTTCCACATATATTTCCTTTACACCCTGGACCATTCTAAATGATTCTCATAAAGCCTGCCATAGCCCAGGGCAGAGTAAAGTTACACACCTGAGGTCCTCAGAGTGGGGAGGGGAACCTATACAACTGGCTGGACTGCCTATCTGGGAGTGAATTTTAAAAATACATATGAAATTGCACTAATTACCTGGAAATTTCACAAACCAGTTAATCTTACTGATCTCATTTTTTTGAAAAAGAACAGAATAATGAGGCTAAATACATATTAGTGAAATTCATGGTAAATTGAAGAGAACTCAATAGTTGTAGAAAAGATATTTTGATGTTATAATGTGGTTTCCCTGCCCTTTCCAGGTAACTGCTAGAGAACCTCGTTAATTTAGAATTAAAACATTTCCTTCCCACATAGCAGGTATAATGGGCTAAGGAAAGAATGGAAATTAATGACATAAGACCAGATCTGTTAATCTTAGTGCAATACACACACTTGGTAGAACCAGTGACATTTTTTAATATCTTGCTACACTCCTGACCCAAAAGAATCAGTGTTGGAGGATGAATTTTCAAACAAGACTTCCTTTCCATGGTTGATAAAAGGTCAATGGCAATCTGACTCTGTAGGATACCGTCCTGTCTGTCAAAATCAAGGTCTGCATTAGTCCCTTGATCCTGAAGTCCCCCTAGCCTTCATCATACTGGAATGGAGCTAATTACCTTTAGAAAATAAGATTTGTAGGAAAATAAAGAAAAAAAATTCATTTTAACACCATACTTTAAAAATGTAATTTAAGCAGTACCTGCTATAAAGTAGCATAAAAAGACCAAAAAAAGAAAAAGAAAAAAAAAGAAACCAAAACAAAACAATAACCCTTGTCTTTATATCACCTATATATTTTCATTAATTTCAATATATCTCATTATTACATTTTTTTTGTGCATGTGTGTTTTATTCAAGGAAAATGTAGAAGGTTTTTATGTGCTTTTTCTAGTCATATTTTTTAAATGTCTCAAATCCTCTCTACATTCTTGGAAATGATCTACAGAGTTGCTGGGGGCTGTACTGTGCAACTGTGCAATATTTTTAAATAACTCATTTTTTTCATTCCCTGTCAACTTTCTTTCATTTTCTGCCCATTTTCTTCCTCAGACCATTAACGATATTGCCATTCTCTCTGCTTCCCCTTGGGACATGGGGGCACAGAGGGCTCTCATAAAGAACTTGTAGCCACTAGTTTTGAGACAGTGTAGCTGTTTCTTTCTCTGAAATGCCAGTGTGTGATCCACTACCATGCAGACAGATCCCCCTGTATCATAATGACAGTCCTCCCTTTCCTGCAGCTCAGCTCAAGGAAGAGTTTTGTCTCTGCCACAGAGCTAGATTCAGACTGCCATCAATGTACTTCTACGTGGAAAGGGACAGGGAAAGGAAGTGAGCAAGAAGAATCTCTCCTCACTCATTGTGCTGTGTATACCTCCAGCCTAGAGGAAAGCCTAATCAAAATAGGCATATACTGACTACACATGGTAAATCAAGGATCTACAGGGATAGTTAATAAGAAAAGAGTTGCAAGAGACCATTAATTCTTACCCTGTGGTCTCCTTATCTTCTCTACTCCTTCACTGAAATTTCAAAAGATTTGGTTCCGTCATTTATTATATCAATGTCAGCAAATATTTTGACCCAATTTAAGAAAAATACCTTAGTGTGCTTATAAAAAGCAAACATTGCTAGCGTTAAATAATTTCTTTCAGAGTCTGGAGTTTGCAGCTTCATGAAATTTAAAAGGGATTAAAGAAAGTAAAACTTGGACAATTATAAATTGGACTGAATTTAAATTTTTAGTCAGCTTAATTTTCATAGTTCATCTGCATATCAAGGTCAGTGGGGTGGAACTTGATCTAGTTATTAAGACTATATTAAGATAAATGAGAATGAATAAATGTGTCCATGCTTTTGGCCCCAGTGAAATTTGAGGTAATTTTAGTTCTAGATAACCTTTAATAAATATCAAGAAACCTATGATTGCCTTCATGTTAATGTATGTGATACATATATTCTAATGCCTCTTCTGGTGCCAATTTAATGTCCTTCTCTCAGATTTGTTTTGTTTTCAAATTTTAGAGGTCACTTATCTTTAAAAGGTTATTTTGCCCATTTATTTAGTGGTGAAACACCTCAAACTATTATCAATTTTGGCTCCCTAGAAAGCTGCTGTTTCTTTGTAATACAGAATGAAGCAGAGATTTGACAATAATTCAGTTAATTTAATCAGCATAGACAGCTAATTCATGTAATCCAGCACCAAAATCCACTTTGAGGAAAATTATCTGTATTGGCTGTCAACATTCATCATATTAGCAACCACCAGCTCTCCACTTCACTTTGTATTTAGAAGCCAAAGAGATTTGTTCAGTTTAATTTGTGTAAGATGCCCACAAGAATACTTGCATTCAGCACCCACAAACAAAACCCTGCATGCTCCACGCCATTCCACTGCCCTTACAAGCAACATTTAAGGTATTTTTCTTTGGAATTGGACCTGGAAAATGAATCAAAATAGACATGGTATAACATCACTTTTTTGTTTTTTGTTTTGTTTTTTGAGAAGAATAACTTAGAACTTTTTTTTTTTCAGATAAAATAAATGATGTTTGCATTTGTGGCAAGCAGCCATCTTGTTAACTTGGAAGCCATGCTCCTAAAAATATAAAAAGCAGGATGGGACAGGGAGAGGCACTTTATGTGTAGTCACATTGGGGGTCATTGTTAAGGGAAAAGCCCAATCAGCTCATGGCCCTATTAGTACGAATGTGTTTCTTTAACATGGGGACTGTTGGAGGTAATGAGTGTGACAGCTGTGGATTAAGCAGTATGCTTTTTATACATTTTGAAAGACAGTAATGTTCTATGCTGTGAGATCTACTCAGTTATGAGAGAAAATCTGTAGCTCTGTTTCAGGAAAGGATAAAAGGCGTGAGTCCATTTTTTTTTTTTTTTTAATCACCTTTTCTTCCTTCTGAGAGGTGAACTATCAGAGGCCACTGTTCTAAAGAGAATCATTATGATAAAAGGAACCGGTCAGGCATCGCCATTTAAGTTTCCCCTATTTTAGCATGAGTTCTCACTAACCTAAAATAATGTACTAATGTATTCTGTTGCAGCTGGATGAAGGCTGGCTGGAAGATGAAAGGAATGAATTCTTAGAGGACTTAAACTTAGAGATGTTGGAAGAACAGCATAATGAAGCAATGCAGCGCACTGCCAATGAGGTGGAGCAGGTAGGGCCAACAATTTGAACTACATCATTTGAAATGTTGCTAGTTCTTTTTTTAATGTATAACCATAAATGGAGTAAAAAACAAAATCAAAGAGTTTGATCAACCATCCATGTAATGGTAATTTTTGAGAGCAAATGATCATCTCAAATGAAGCAGAGGGAATAAATACAATTTTTTCTATTAAGAATATTTCTAGTTTGGGAAGCTTAGGGACCACTGTTGATAGAGTAATGTAGTATTCAAATGCTGACCCAGATACTGTCAACCTAATTCCGAAGTTTAATAGTAAAAATGCATGTTGCTGCTCAGTATGCTAGTGGGAGACAAACTATATCTTTTGAGAGAACCTCCCCCAAAACAGTAAATTTATACTTTGAAATTAATGCGCATCTTTGAATATTTAAGCAACTAAAGGAAGATAATGACATGATGTAAGCCATCTATCTTATCTGTGTTTTTGGTATTATGATTACACCTTTATAACATTAAATAGGAGCAGTCCTACTTGAAATTATTCACATGATTTTGCCTTAGGGACATATTCATTCAACAAAAAATTCTGAGCTCCTAATATGTTCCAATCACCACCCTTGATTCTGAGAATACAAAGAAAAATGAGCAAAGTTCCTGCTTTTAATTAATGTATAACTAGTAAAAGATCACAGTGTGATTTGTGGCAGTCTACATTTTTGTTGTTGTTTTCCTACTAGATAAAAACAGATCAATATATCATAAATTTTTATGTCAGATTCATGACGTTCATCTGCCTTATATAATTTTATTAACACTTCTGCTGTCAGTTTTCTGATTTGTTTAATTATCATCCATTTTCAATATTAATCCTTAACATATCCTGAAAGATAATTAAAAACAAAAACAAAAACAAAAAACTCTGACAGTTCAGCTTAAGAACATGAAACACAAACATCCTATCACTTTACCAAGCTGAATGATGAAATATATTGACATGCTAGCATCCCATAACAGAGATATGTGTGTATATGCACATGTCCATATATTAAATAAATCATTAAAATGCAAACTACAGTGTCAACATAGCCATGTGTGCTATATACTCTGAGCTGATCATGGAGGCTCATTGGCCACTTCATCAACAGTAGTTCATGCTCAGCAGTGACACTTCTACTATAGTGAAGGCTTTTCAGTATCAGACAGATTGAAATTTTTATGTATGACTTCAACACTGGCCACAAATAAAGATATTTTCGGGTGGCAGCTGCTGGTTACAAGCAAGAGAGCCCTTGCTCCAGGCTTTTTCTTTCTTAAATACAAAATGTGACCTGATACAGAATTGACAGGAGGATGTTGGAATAAAGAAAGAAGGGAGAAATCCTGCCCAGGTGAAGTGATATGGTGTCAAATGCCACCTACTCATCAGACATAATACAAATGCTAAGTCTTTTGAGGTAACACTAGATGACCTTGAGGTTAAATTTTCATCGTGTGGAAATTTTTCTTCACCATGAGACTGAAAAATGATGAGAAATACAGAAACCTTTAAAAGTCCTTTGCCCTTATAAACAATAACACTACATTAGAAATGTCTTGGTAAAAACATTGCCTGTCACTATAATAATTCCATAGGGAAATGATAAATGATAGAGTAGCATTACATTAGAAACCAGGAATTCTAGGTTTGAGAATAGAAAAACTCTTTTTATTTTCAGATATGTTCATAAACCAGTGACTAAAGAAAGAGCAATTCAATTAAAAATACATACCCATATTTAAAAACTAAAATTAATAACCATATGACAGTTTAACTTTACATACTATCTTTGGTCCTATGGCTACTCTTGACACATTGTGTAACATCTCCCACAGCATAATTAGTCTATACTGCATGTAAAATTTTTAAAAAGATAGTAACCTTCTTGTGTTTTTTCAGCTTATCATTAGATATGAGAAAAATATAAATGTAAATAATGTGGTACAGAAACTCAGATGTTCAATATCAGTTATATCCTCTGAGGGTTTTATAGCACAATGTGCAGATGTCACCACATTTGGTATTATCAGCTTATAGCAAGGGACATGCAGATGAAACAAGCTTTCCAGTTTTAGTTACTATTACTTATTTATAACTATTTTTACCATTAAGATATTTTAAATCAATCTCAGTATGTTTTCAACAAGTGAGGAAAAATATTTTAGGGTTTTTTTTAATAGCATAATACATGGCCATATTCTTTCATCTCCAATTTGTTACATATAGTTCTGTCATTACTTATGTGGAAAAAATAACAATTATGTGGAGAGACCCTTTCAAACCTGTTCTACAATATGTTTTATCACCCATTATGTCCTTCTTTAAAAAAGGCTCAATTATATTGAATTATATAATTACACCTGGAAGAGAAAAAAACTTAAACATAAAGAAAATACATCCAGACACTGCCATGTAGACTAAGGAGTGGTGGGAGAAAAAGTAACTTTACCCTATTCACAGAGAAAGAACTAGATATGCATCTCCTTAGGGCAGCAACAGTTAATCATTCTGCTTGAAAGCCAGAAAGTACTGGGGAGTGACATTTATACATATATTTACATATATATGACAAAATATATTTTTGATATTATGCCTATCTGTGGCAATCAGTGCTGCTCAGATTTTCATGGGAACTGTTATTTTACTCTTGGCAGAATAAAACTCACCTTTGAAGGAAATTACTGGTTAAAAGTAGAAAAATCTTTTTAAGTACCCATATGAGTCCTGAGACATTATCGTTGCTTTTCAATCACGTGATTCGGAGATGCACTGAGGTCAAAGCATATGTATGCAAGAATATGGCATCCTGGACATATAAGAAATCCTGACACTGTGAGATGACAAAAGCCTTCTAGACCTCTCTGTGTCACTAATAACCTAAATCCATCTGAGATTAAGCTTCCTCATCTATAGATAGAAGGACCTAGGCTCCAATACTAACCTATTGCTGAAATTTCGTGATGTTTGGCTTACCATAATCAATGTATTACTAGAGCAATAACGTTTCCTCTGAACTTAATGTTCAGAAAACAATAATAGTAATAGGGTGATGTGACTTCTGAACTCCAAGCTTCCATATGGCTGAAGACCATTTAGACATTCTTATTCATCTTCTTAGAAACTCATAGAGTCACCTCATTTACACATCTTCATGCCAGAGTTTTCCAAGTAAGATAAAGCCTTAAAATAAGAATAACTTATTTAAATACATTCTGTTTTATTTATCCCCAAGTGAGTATCATAGCTATATTCATGCAGTTTTTCTTTTCTTTATTTCATTGCATAAAAAGCTGCCTTGAGCTAATTGCCTTTATTTCTAAAATTGTTATGGATACTAAAATTAGAGCATCTTTCTAGGAACTGTACTTTTGTCAAAAAGCATTTTTTTTTTTAGCAAATTTTTCAACACATGGTTTTCTTTGTTCCCTCAACATTATTTTCTTAGCCGAAAAAACAAGAAGAAGAAGAAGGCACAACAGACACGGCCACATCTTCATCAAACAACCATGAGAAGGACAGTGGAGTGGGGCGCACAGATGAAAGTTTGCGGAATGACGAGAGCTCAGAGCAGGAGAATGCAGCTGAAGATCCCAACAGCACATCTTTGAAGAGCAAGAGAGACCTGGGGCAGAGCCACGACACTCTAGGGAGTGTTGAACTTCAGTGCAACGAGAGCTTCATGTCCGGTGAATACATTGACTCAGACTGCACTGGCAACCAGGATGAGGAGTGTGAACGATTCCGGCAGCTCTTGGAGCTCAAATGCAAGATTCGAAACCATGGAGAGTATGACTTGTATTACTCGAGCAGCACAATAGAATGCAATCAAGGGGGACAAGAGGGAGTGGAGCATGAGCTACAATTGCTTAATGAAGAACTAAGAAACATTGAACTCGAATGCCAGAATATCATGCAGGCTCACAGGCTCCAGAAAGTGACAGACCAGTATGGAGACATCTGGGCATTGCATGATGGAGGATTCCGAAATTATAACACCAGCATTGATATGCAAAGGGGAAAACTAGATGACATCATCGAACACCCAGAAAAGTCAGACAAGGACAGTTCGAGTGCTTACAACACAGCCGAAAGCTGCAGAAGCACTCCACTCACTGTGGATCGTTCACCTGACAGTTCCCTTCCAAGAGTGATCAACCTCACCAATAAGAAAAACCTGAGAAGCACAATTGCAGCCAATCAGCCCTCTTCTGGACAGAGCGGTAAAGAGTCAACCTCCCCCAAAGCCAAAACCACTGACCAAGGTTGTGGCATCGAAGGCAAGGAGATTTCAGAAAGCAACAAACTTTCTGATCAAGAGAAGACAGGCAGCGAACACATCCCTTACCTCTCTCCTTACCACAGCTCCTCATATAGATATGCAAACATCCCAGCACATGCCCGGCATTATCAAAGCTACATGCAGTTAATTCAACAGAAATCTGCGGTAGAATATGCTCAGAGTCAGCTCAGTTTGGTGAGCATGTGCAAGGAGTCTCAGAAGTGTTCAGAGCCCAAGATGGAATGGAAGGTGAAAATTAGGAGCGATGGGACCCGCTACATAACAAAGAGACCAGTGCGAGACCGGATTCTGAAGGAACGTGCCTTAAAGATTAAGGAGGAACGGAGTGGCATGACGACAGACGATGACACCATGAGCGAGATGAAAATGGGGCGCTACTGGAGCAAAGAGGAGAGAAAGCAACACCTGGTTCGGGCCAAAGAGCAGCGTCGGCGCAGAGAGTTCATGATGCGGAGCCGGTTAGAGTGTCTCAAGGAGAGTCCTCAGAGTGGCAGCGAGGGCAAGAAGGAGCTCAACATCATTGAACTCAGCCACAAAAAGATGATGAAAAAAAGAAACAAGAAAATTTTGGACAACTGGATGACAATCCAAGAACTGATGACCCACGGGGCCAAGTCTCCTGATGGCACACGAGTTCATAATGCCTTTTTGTCAGTCACCACTGTATGACCGAATGAATAGAACACAACTGATGTTAAGAGGGTGCTACCAGTTTGGGTAGAGTATGATTGCCTCGTTCAATGTGGCATTTTTATATATATTTTCTGACTCTATAGTTTGAATTTTTTGTAAGCAAAAAATACCTGGTAATTTTTCATTTGTTTTTCATATACCGGTACCTTCTTTTCGGCTGAGGTCTTTCTTTAACTTGTGATATATTCATATTACTCATTTATATATATATAAAAAAAAACAAAAGGAAAGAAAACAAAAAAATGAACAAAAATACTAAGGAGCCAATTAATTTCCTATTCTGATGTATCTATTGTACGTTAAGATCTGGATTTATTTCTCTAGTTTACTTATTTTCTACTTTAATAATAACCCAATGCCAAAACATTTCTGTACTTGGCATAATGCCTATTATATCAAACTTGTTAATAAATCATGTGCCACATCTTGTCTTACACATAAAAAAAAACTTGTTTAACATCCCATTGTACTTTTAACATAATATGTGGCCATTGTTTTTGTCTCAGTAAAGTGTAGGTGGACAATCTTCCTGTGATATGTAGTGACATTGGTCATGTAGCTAGGTAATTGTGGTAATTGTGACAATAAAAGAAATAAATTATTGATTATCCTTAATAAAAGTTATCAAGGAGTGTTTTATTTTCATTGTCCACTGTGGTTACCAGATATAAATTAGTTATATATGTATACTATTTAGAAGACTTCTAATTGTGGATTATAAAATGTGCACATTTTCTATCACTTTTTTTCAATAAAATTGTCTTGAAATATTTCCCATAGATCATGGTGTCATATATTCTTACCAGGATTAAATTAGGTAACATATGTAGAGCATCTTACAGAAGCTAACTAAAATTCAGTAAACATGAGTTCATGCTGCCCTTGCCTGCCACTCATGTAAAGAAAAGCCAAGAAAAAATGGGGAAGACATGAAGAGAGACGATCAATGACATGTCTGAGATGATTTATAATGACCCTGTATGTATCAGTCAGCTCAAGCTAGCATAACAAAATTCCATAGATTATGTGGCTTAAACAGGAATTTTTTTCTCAGAGTCTTCGGGCTGAGAAGTCCAAGGTCAAGGATGCCAGCTGATTCAGCTCCCTGGAAAGGGCGCTCTTCCTGTTTTGCAATGGCCACCTTCTCTCTGTGTCCTCATATGGTAGAAATAGAGAGAGGAAGCTCTCTGGTGTCTTCTTATAAAGTCACCGATGCCATCATGAAGGCCCCACCCTTGTGACTCCATCTAAACCTAATTACCACAAAGGCCCATCTTCAACAAGTGTCACATTGGGAGTTAAAGCTTCAACATATGAATTTGGGGACAGTAATACAATTCAGCCCATAGCACCATGTACATTTATTTATTTGATCATTTATGAATAAATTTTTGGGAACCATCTTTTTCATCATTTTCAGCATAGTCGACTATAAATGCCTTTTATATCAGTTTATTAAAAAGTGAAATTGTTAGATTATCAGATAGGTTTTTTAAATCTATCTTTTCATCATATAAATTTGTAAACCATATCATGTCAATCATGATGGCTCCAGAGTGAAAGGTCAATCGTATGCATGCAAACATAAGTTAGATCAAATTTTCATTAAACTTAAGAGATCATTTAACATAATGGATATACAACGTTTGAATATTTTTGAAGCTACTTTCATGATTAAAAACGTACAGTGGCTCCTTGTTAAATACTGAATCAGACTCTGATGCCTCAGCCTCTTTCAAGCCTCTCTATTAACTTGCCCACCTTGCCTATTGCCCCTTTTAGATCTTCTCTGAGTTATTTCCGGTTCCAAAATAACCTGCTCATTTCCACTGAAGTTACCATATGTTATTCTCCTGCTTAGGATTTCTGTGCCAATCCCACACCTCCCTTCAAGCATAATCACGTATATATTTTCCCTTTAGAGACTGTTTTGATGACACCAGATTTTCTCAGCATTTTGGCACACATTATGATTGCACCTGCAGTATTGTTTTACCTTGGAAATTTTATTCTTCTGTTATCACGTAGATAGGACTTATTATCTCCCTGCATAGATTTGAACATAGAGTTTGGCACTTGCGTCCACCTCTGTCTTTGTAAATCTCTGACATGAATGATAAATAAATAATAATGAATGCTAGTTGTTAAATTATTTTATTCATTTATCTCTCTCCTCCACATATTGGTATTTTTGTTACTGTTTTCTTTACTCTTCTACCCAAGTTCTTACTGTTTGAAGGGCTATTATGTAAACAGGAAAAAAATGAATCTTATTTACATATAATGAAAAGTTAGGGTCAAAAATTTTAAGATAGTGATAGTAATAGCAAGCCAAGGCAAGTGAAAATTTCATCAATCCTAACTTTACTGTTGTTAATCCAATCAATAAGATTATTCTGCGTGCACTGAGAGTTAACATTCAGTCTTAAATGAGAATGCCTGTCCACCTGAAGAGCTCAGTTCTCTCCTGACCTAATGCCTGTAGTTAGTGTTTATCACCGTGACACAACTGGGTTTAAATATTCATTGCCTTCATATTACTCCTATAGATAAATGTGATTTAGAATCAACATATAGATTTTCCCTGAAGAAACATGTACACATTTCACAGAATGCTGTGTTTCCAAAGTTACCAGTTTAATTTTATTTTTATTAAAGCCAAGCGTGCTTGCCAATTTTTTAAAAAATGTAATGTTGGTGTTTTTCATGTCTGTGTTTATATAGTTCTACAAGTTGAGAAATGTCTTTTTAAAAAATCAGTGAAAATCTGAAAATTGGAATGCTTTATCTTTCTACATAACTTATCTTTGTGCTAAATATGTTTTTTTAGTAAATGAACAATAAATCTTGCTCAGCAAAGAAAAATGATTGGTTATATGTCGGATATTTTATTTCAGTTCAGAAAAATTATGTGAATATAAAGAGGAAATGTTTCACATGGGCTTACCTTTGAAATTCCATATTCTTGCTTTTTATATTAAAAATGTTACAGAAATTTGTGTTAGGATCTATATGTAAATGACCTAAAAAGGTTGAAAATAATGTATGTTCAATGGACATTTCTTCACTGCGTGCCATGAGGAAGGAGATTGTTCCCATCTTATTTTGTGCTGACCGTACCTTTACGAACACATAATGTGGGCTGAGGGAGACTCCTCTAACATTGCCTTTCCATAGCTACTCATAACTTAATCCATGTCTTGGTGTTTGTCTAAATCTTCCACATAAACATATTCTTTTTATCCCTCCAGTGAGTTCATGCTCCCTGCTTCAAATTCCTTGTTTTGTGATGATGCCTCTTTCATGCTTATTACCTCAGTCCTCTTGAAATTCTCTTTTACCTGGTCAATCCACAAAGGCAGTCTTAATTTTTCTTCTACATGCATCAGACTGTCTTAACCTTAAATCACCTTTTGGCTAGACTGTCACTGTCTCATGCCTAATTATCTCAATGGATCTGTACTGGTCACCCGTATGCCCTTTCCAGTCTATCTTACATATGGCAGCAACACTTGGCCTCTTAAATATCACTTTCCTCACTGTGCTAAGGTATCTCAAGGAATCTTTTTCTGAGCAATGGGATAAAACCAGAGTGTCCGAAACTATTATCCAAGGACTTCCATAATTAAACCTCAATCTTTTTTTCCATCTGATTCACACTCTCTCTGGGAGATACTTCCAACTCAGACCTTAAGAAAACTGTTCCTTGGGTAGGTAAATAATTTTATGCTCCTTCAAATTAATATTCTTTAAATTTTAATTAATATTTAATTCAATTTTATTTTCTATTAATACTCATTAGTTAATTACCATTACTTCTATTTCTATTAATAATCAATATAATTGATATAAATAATATAACAATTATTAAATAATTTCTATTAATTTTTAATAAATGAAGTTGAACACTGCAACTAATTCACTTCTAAAAAAAAAAAAAGGAAACAAAAAAATTTTTCCCAGCTAATTAGTTCCCACTTATCTGAAGTTTTTGTTCTCCCTTCAGTTTTCTATCATTGTTTTCAAAAATATACATCTTTAGAGGTATGTTAAAGGACTTAAATTTAGATAAAACATTTGTACCTGTAAATATGCATAATATGGTTTCAGAATTTTAGTGACTAGTGACTACAGGAAGCCACTGACAAAAATAATTTATTAAGATAGTCATCTATTGAGGAACACTTTGAATATTTTTTTTTTTTTTTGCTGTTTCCTCTCAAGTGTGCTGCTCTTTTCAGCCAGAGCAAGACCAGTTTATACTGTAGCAGTTTTGTAAGAAGTCTCCTTGAAGAAGTGAGTAAATGAGCACCATAAGACAGATTATTAGGGGGATACTTTTGTGCTACTTCTAGTGTTCCACTAGCTTTAGTGTTCTGCTTTAGTCAGACAGGACTCCTATAGTTTTTCAAACATGTCGTTCTCATTTCTGACATCGCTCTTTGATAGTGGTATTTCACATATTAGATTAAACCTTTCTCCTTTCTCTTTGTCCATCCCTCCATCAATGTTTATTTCACGTTTTCCCATCTCTCCAGGAGATTTTCCCTAGCTGCTGCTAACAGCAGCTCTTATTTCTGAATACTCATAAATGGTATTGTTTTAACACTCACTTGACTTTCTACTCAATAGTGCCTAATTTTTTTCTCTATAAGGCATCTGTCCTACATGTAGTGTGTTGCACCTTTAGGAATCATTGCCACATGTGTCCTTCTGGCGATTCTTCTGTTTTACCAGAAAATGCTGCTGTGCGTTCTTCACATTTCCAGTCAACAGTGTTGCAATAAGCATTGCTTCTGGGTTCATAGGCCATTTATAAACTAGGGTCCTACTTATTCTTCAGTATCCTAATACATGTTTTTAACAATATTCGCTACCTATTTACTGCCTCCAAGCTCTGCCACTTACCAGGTTTGTATTCTTAGGCAAGTTACTTAAGCTTGCTACTGCTTAATACAGTGGAGACAATTATAGCCTTTTTCATAGATTGGGAGTTAAATAGGTTAATACATATAAAGAAGATAGATAAGTGCTGGCACAAATAGGCAGGCACTCAGCTAATATTTTTATTTACAAATAAACTGTGGCTAATATAATTTCAGTAATCTGCCACAAATTCCACAGCTACTAAGCCATAGGTTCTAGATTCAAACTTGTGGTGGTCTGCCACCCCAAAGTTTCTCTTCTTTCCACTTTTTATAGTCTCCACATTAATTAAGAATGGACATCAGAGTTAACAGCAACCTGTTCACTTAAGGTCTATCAGTTCTGCTTCAAACAGAAGTCCAGGTACTGACACAATTTTCTGTGTGTTATCAAATGTGCTGACTTTCTTCATTTGATTGTACTTTACCAGTCAGCCTGTTTCTTGAATTACATGCTACCTACTATAGGGAATTATGGTGGTAGATTTTGGGTTTGATCAGTCAGTGAGTCTATGATTGTTTCTCTAAACGATAAGCAGTACATCATTGCATTCTATCTCAAATTTATTAACACTCCTGGCCATTGTGCTGCCTGCCAGTACATTATCAGAAATTTAACATCGTTGTAAAGAACTTCTTGGATATCTATTTGTGGAATTGTTACAGATTCTTAAAGCCTGGTGTTTTA